ACTTATCTGCCTGCCTGCCTGTCTTTCTGTCTGCTTACCTGCCTACCAATATCTATCTACCTACCTACCAATATATATCTACCTGCCTACTTATCTACCTATCTACCTATCCATCCATCCATCCAAAAGGTCTGTCTGTCTTCCTGCCTGCTTGCCTGCCTGCCTACTTACCTATCTACCAATATATCTATCTACCTATCTATCTATCTACCTACCTACCTATCCATCCATCCAAAAGGTCTGTCTTCCAGCCTGCCTGCCTGCCTACCTATCTATCAATATATCTACCTACCTACCTACCTCTCTCTGTGTGTGTGTCTCTCTCTATCCATCCATCCATCCATTCATCCATCCATCCATCCATGTTCGAAGCGCTTGCCCAGCAGGCACATTGGGAAAGTAGAGCAAAGCCAGTCTGGGAGGGAGGGAGGGAGGGAGGGAGGGAGAGAGAGAGAGAGAGAGAGAGAGAGAGAAAGAGAGCTGATGTATCAGATTGAAATGAGGCCTAGTTTAGACTGAGGCCCTTTTCCACATTGAAACATCTTTGCCAGCATATTGAAACATCTTTGGCTTCTATTAAAGGTTTTGTGGACAAAACATGGTCAAGACTATCAGGAAGCTCTCACATTTTGTTGAGGCTTTAAACAGGATGCATTGGACCAGATCTCCACCCTAAAAAATTACTTTTCTCCAATGTTTTAAAGTGCCAATTCTGAAGAAGGCAAAATCAAAATGTACTGATAAATTACAAGGAAAACACACACACTCTCTCTCTCTCTTCTAACCCTGCTGGAGCAGGTGATTGGACTAGAATAGATATCTCATTATCTTTCTCCTCCCTCCCTCCCTCCTTCTTTATTTATTTTTCTTTCTGTCCCTTCCTTCCATCCACCCTTTCTTCATCTGTCCCTTTTTCTTTCTTTTCCTATTCTCTTTCTTTTCTTCCTTCTCTTTTTCTCTCTCTCTTTCTTTTTTCTCTCTCTCTCTCTCTTTCCCTCTCTCAGGCTCACCCCATTGACTTGGTGCACTGCTTTGCTCGGACTTGCTTGGGCAGGTCCTTCCAGTGCAGTGAGCTCAATGGGGTGGACCCGCGGGACTGGCACCTAAAACTCATCAAGGATGAATTTGTAGCACAAAGGGGGCGGTGGACTGAAAAAGTTTGGGAACCACTGACCTAAACGATCTATGGTTGACCTTGTAACCTACGAAAAATAATTTCCTAGCTCTATGTTGCCCTTTAAGTCTTACTTGTGATGGAATATGCACCCATGCTGGAGCTCCAAATGTATGTAGATAACTTAAATTTGATTTTCTGCCATGCCAACAAATGAATAGCAATTCACCAGTTGTTGTGTTCACCACATTTTTAACCCATGGTTGCTACACATTATGGCTTCACCCCACAGTGTTTCAGGCAAATCTGAATCAGATAACATAGTGCCAGCCATGGCTTGTAACGTTTACCCCCTTCATTCTATAAACAAGTTATGTTGTGGCCTGTAAGGGGCAGAACGCTTATGTTCGATACCAGCTAATTTTAACATCGTTTGGAATCTATTAATAATAAACTCAGTCCCGTTATCAGTTACTAATGTAATTATCCTATGTCTCATTTTCCTTTCAGCAAATCTTAGCCAGTTAAAGAAATGTTGGAACATTTCTATTTTGTTTTTCATTAGGTAGCAGAAACCGTACTGTAATTATCCATTATACTCAAAACATAGCAGGCACCTCCCAAACTGGGTTTCTTAGGACCAATTATGTCAGCAAACACAACCTCTTCTTTGGTCTTAAATCCATTCAGTCTGTTTGCTGGAGTAACCTTGCTTTTCTCCTGGTTACATGCATTACAATTTAAGTACTTACTACAGGGTTTAAATTTTATTCCCTCTGACAATTCGACAGTTTGTTTCAGCATTTTGAAATTAATGTGCCCCAGATGTCTATGCAGTAAATGTATGCATTCGTCATGTGGCTTAACATTGTTATAAACCGAGTTAGCCATCTGCAACTGGTCATCATGTATAACATATAAATCATTCTCTAAAGTAGCAATAACATTTTTACCCTCTTTCTCTATTATACAGTTATCTCCCCTAAAGGTTACTACATAACCAATGTTAACTAAAGCCCTTACTGATAACAAATTAAATTTCAGTTTAGGTACATATAACATAGATAAATGCTCATTTACACATGAACAATATGCAGTACCTTCACCAGATGCTTTCATCTTCCATCCATTTGCCAATGATACATGTTTCTTACTCGTAGACATCTTTACAAACCTCTATTTCTAGTAATGCACTGCGATGTTCCACTATCAACTACCTACAAATCATGGTTTACAGTTGAATTGATAGACATAGCTAAATTAACATTCTTCTTAGCCTTCTGGTGATTACCAGTATTCTGTCATTTGCTCTTCTTACAGAATCTATCTATGTGTCCCCTAGCTCCACAAGAAAAACATTTCCTAACAGTATAGGCAGTTGAAAACAAATCCTCTTCTTGTAGTTGTTTCTCTCTCAGTTGGTCTATAGCCAGACTTCTTCTTGCCTCTTCTAATAATCGTCTGGTTATGTCAGTTAATGTCAGTTCATTTCTGGTCAGGACTTCCAGTGAAGATACATAATCATAACTTTCATCCAATGCAGAAAGAATGATGTAAACTTGATGCAGCTCTGAAAAAATCAGTTCCTTTTCATGTAGCTCTTGAAAACTTATTTTCATGAAGTTCAAATGAGCTAACATATCTCCACCTTTCAGAAGACGTGCTCTAAAAAGTTTACGTGTAAGATGTATGTGTGCACCTACACTGTTACGAATGTAAATCCTCTTCAGATTCTCCCAACACCTAGCAGCAGACTCTTCTCCATGAATATGGACTAGCTGCTGGTCACTCAGTGTTAGTCCAATTATACAAAGAGCTCATTCGTTGTTCCATTTGAAGTCAACTAACTTTTTGGCATCATTCTCATCATTTGGATCCTAAGCATTTACATTCGGTGGATCCTGAACTTCAGCCCATAACCCTTCCCTACGCAGAAGTAGACTGCACTTCATAGACCAGGAAACATAGTTTGTTCCATCCAACCGAGTTATCAGTGATAGATTTGTTGAAGTGTCTTGTGCCATCTTTATCAGGGCAGTAACCCACAATTAAACAGTAAACAGCTGTCTGTATATTGTACTGCATATTCACACTAACTCTCAGTTATCTGAGCTTGGTATGAACTGGGCCCATAACCAGTGTTGAGGTATTCCACATTAGGAGAATGAGTGCACTCAGGGAAACGTAGTGAGAGTGGTGTTGAATAACACACAAGCAGCATATAGATACACTGAATAGTAAAATGTAGGTTTACTTCCAGTAAATGGGTAAACCAAGTCCAAATCATACACTGTTAAAGCAGGTAGTATTCAATACAATCAGTCCAGGGATAATCCAAAAACGAAGTCCAGTATCATAAACAAAGTTCAGTAAACGGAGTTTGCTAACAGTTTGCAAGACTCACAGCAATCCAAGCAGAATGACGATCAGGCAAAAGGCAATAGGGAAATGCAAAAAGAGAATAAACCAGGTTTCTGCTCTATTTTATGGCCGTTGGGGGAACCTCAGCCAATCACAATTTCAGCATTCTCTTAAAGATACAAACAGTATTAGATAATTATCCTGGTTTATATATTGCCAACCCAGCTGTTAGGTGACTATCATTCCTAACAGTTTCTCCTGGATCCATCTACATGAACTGCCATTCACAGGCACCCTTCCTTATTGTCACCCTTACAAGATGACGTTTGCCCCCTCAGGAGAACTCTAGACCAGTAGAAAGCTGAATCTCACAGAGCTCCACAAGAACAGCTGTCACTCAACAAACCCAGAAACGGAAGTCCATATATACATGGCTGGGTGTTGTTATCTCTGAAACTGAGTCCAGTTGATTTCCCTTTCTTTATTATGCTTTGAAAAATTAGATTTATTATTTTTAAGTTCCATTGGATACAGCAAGATGCAGATTTCTGAAAATAGATGACATTTAAGAATTTTTTTTTTTATTCTTCATGTACTTTGTGCATGTTGTCGGGAAAATAACTCTGATTGGCTAAACAAAAAAGCAGAAGAAACTATTTTAAAAGCATACTTTTGGAAGAAAGTTGTCATTGTTGTGCGTGTGTCACCCAAAGATGAAGACTATGTTCTTCATAATTGCATGTTAGGGATACATTGTATGAGATATGTTAGGGATGTAGCTTTTGTTTAATTTTTACCTGCATGTAAAATGGACATGTCCAGCTGAAGTTATGATGTTTATTCATAACTTACCTTTGGACTCATAGGAATTTAGGATTAGATTAATACATAAGCCAGCAAAGGGAATATTATATACCTAGCTCTTGAGAAAAACTTAACAACAATCTCAGGCTATCAAGAGGAATCCAGTGCTTTAATTAAACATATAAGTTCCATGAAGTTAAAGTTATGCAAACTATATATAATTTTACAGGTAAGATTGCAACTAATTAAAACTAAGTAAACAGTAATTTGCTTGTTTTTAATAGCTTTTATCACAGAAATGGCTTATCACTAAGAAAAGTGGCTAATAAATATGATGAATAAATAAAACAATATATAGCACACGGGTGTCAAACTCGCAGTGTCATAGGCTCTCGTGATGTTTCATGAGTTTTTCCCTTTGTGGAGCTGAAGTGGACATGGCCTGTGCATGATGCATTCGACCTGTGGGCCGCCAGTTTGACATCCCTAATAGCACCTGAACTGAACATTTATATTTAGAAAATAGTAGTTTCTATCTTCATACCATTTGCAAACATGAAAGAAATCTAAAAAGAGGGCTGCAAAATTGGGTAGCCTGGTTCAGGTCAGTCTATTTACAGCATGTTGTCTCATCTATGCAGTAGCCATTTGGGTTCCATAATAAAAAGGAGTGTTTGAGTGTGAGAAATGTTTAACTGTTCTCTCCATTGTTTATCTTCAGATCTGCATAACTTCAGAAAAGGAACAAGACGGATTTATCAAAGTATGCAGTGGAAAGAAAAAGGGCTTTGTCCCAATAGATGTCTTAGAAGACATCTGAAATTTGCCCGGTCAGCAAATGCAGTACAGTAGCAAAGCTTCACCAGCAAGACCTGTTTGCTTCATTTTGCACTGTGTCTACCCAAACAAGCTGTCCTGGAGATTACTAGGGCAATCAGAAGACAACTACAAAGACCAACCACTATCAAGCATTTAGTTGCTTTGAAGCAACAAACAGTTGATCAATAACGAAGTGTATTAATAGAGAAAGAACCAAATAAAGGTGGTGTAAACCTTAAGGGAGGGGTGGGCTGCTTTTCTAAAAAGACAAGTTAAAAAATTAAACTTGATGGTGGGTTTTGTTTTATTTTGTTTCATTTTTTTCCTGAGCAAAGCTACTAATTATTACCCTTTGGCAACAGGCAATTGACCTGTAAGGCTGTTTTTCTCTTGTTCAGGTGTCTTAAGAAAACTGATAGGAACTTTTAGTCAATGTTGTTTGATATGTGTCTCACTAGGAAAGGTTCAGACTTTTTCTCTGAACTGTGATTTGATGGTTGAAATAAGTGATATGAATCTGACCTTTAAAATATTGTTCCCCATTTTAGGGAATTAGGATAACATTTGGTTCTGACTTTTAATTTTTTTTATTAAAAGGCAGTTTAAGTGAAACATGTAGTCATCAGTTTGGGAAACAAGCTGCTACCCAGTTTAAGCTTTCTGTGGGTTTCTTTTTTGTTGTTCTTAGTTGCAAAGTCATGTCTAACCCATCACAACCCCATGGACAATGTTCCTCCAGGTCTTCCTGCTCTCAACTATCCCCTGGAGTCCATTTAATCTCATGCTGGCTGCTTCAGTAGCTCCAACCAGCCACCTAATTCTCTGCCATTGTCAGATCCCTAAAAGTGATACTACCATTCAGTTGGGAGAAGGGGTGGGGGGCTTGAATTCAATTTATTACTATTGCCTGTGACAATTGCTATTTTATAACTTGTATCCTGGCGCCAAGGCACCCTGAGATTTTCTCACCTCTTGGGGAATGTAGTAGGCGGGAGGGCCCTGTGGGTTGTTTCATTTTGAAAGCCAGCAGAGATGGCCATGGGATTGCCTGCTTATCTATTTCTCAGAGCGGCTGGTACAATAACATCTTCACACCTGTGAATTGGCTGAATCCACATCTGGCTAAAAAGAGGCATCTCTACTGCTTTAATTCTACTTGTCTTGCCTAAGGTTATTCAGACGTTGCTTTGAATGTATTGCTGTCACTTTTGCTTATTAAAAGGTTTCTTTTGAAATACTCTTTTGAAGAGTCTTCACTTTTTTAAGTTAGGAGAAGCAATATTTAGAGAAAGCAATGTCTGAAAAATGGTCAACCCAAAGAAGCAATTTTTGCTCTACCAAGGAAACCCTGCAAACCATGTCCAAGCAAAGCAGGGAGCAAGGAGAAGCCAAATGCGGGGAGGGGAGACATCAACCATCACCCAGCCAGATGCCTGCTTCCTGTACCCCATCGGAGAGGATGAGGTGACCCTGGAAAACACTCCACTGGTTGATTGGCATCAGGAAGAAAGACAGCTGGGATGGGAGAACCGGAGGAATCACCCTCACCCACTGTAACTGAAAGCTGGGGTGGAAATTGGAGCTAGAAGCCTTCTCTGACCAGGAGGAACTAACAGAAGCACTGCTGAGGAAGGATCATCTGGAGAGACATATAACCCAGTTTGTTCTGTTGCCAGTAAAGAGAATCATTTGATCTGATTAAGTCTTTAATTTTTTGGAATGCTGTTTCTTCTTGGTGGCCCCATTTCCAGATGGCTTTTTTATTGAGGAGTCTATGCAGTGGTTCTGTTACTGTTGCCTTCTGTGGCAGAAAGACATGATAAAAATTAATGAGACCCAAAAAAGCCTGTAAATCCATTTTGTTTATGGGTCTGGGGGCTTCCTTAATCGCTCGTATTTTTTGTGTGGGGTGGATTCCTGCTTCATCAATAAGGTATCCCAGGAACTCGACCTGGTTTGTGGCAAGTTGGCATTTTTCTTTTTTGACCTTGAGTCCTGCTTCTCTAAATTTTGTCAGAACTGCCCTTAAACGGTCTTTTAGTTGTTTTTTGTTTTCAGCAGATATTAATACATCATTGAAATATGGCACCACCCCTTTTAATCCTTGTAGAAGGCGTTCCATTAGGCTCTGGAAAACACCAGGGGCCACGCTTACGCCGAATTGTAATCTATTGCATTTAAATGCTCCTCTGTGCGTTACAATGGTTTGTGCCTCGGCTGTTTCAGGATCAACAGGTAATTGTTGATATGCCTGTGCCAGGTTGAGTTTTGCAAAAATCCTGCCTCTTCCCAATGAATGCAACAGGTGTTGGACTACTGGAACGGGGTATGCGCTCTGTTGCAATGCGTGATTCAGGGTGGCCTTATAGTCAACACAGATGCACACGGACCCATCAGGTTTTATAGGGGTCACAATTGGGTTCTCCCATCTGGCGTGGTCAGTTGGCTCTAGTACCCCCTGAGCAATTAGTTTGTTTAGTTGTTCATCAATTTTAAGTCTTAGTGCAAATGGTACCCATCTGGCTTTAAGCCTAACTGGAGCTACGTTTGGGTTTAAGTTAAACGATATAGGGGTCCCACGGTACTTGCCCAAGGTCCTGTTGAACATGTCATGGAATTCTTCTATCAGGTCTTTTTCCCAGTCAGTCATGGTGGTGGTTTTGATTCCTGTCACCTCGATCCCGGTTTGAACCATTCCAACCCAAGCAGGCTGGGGCAATCTCTGTCAATGATGGTTAATGGCAGGATCCTGGTGTGCCTTTTAAAATTTACTTTGAAGTGTATTAGTCCTACTACCGGTATTTTGTTACCCTGGTAGTCCTTGATGATCAGGCTTTGCTTCTCAAGTTCTCTGCATTGTATATCGGGAATTAAGCTTTTTATTGTGTTCCATGACACCATTGATAAATACGAACCGGAGTCTACTTCCATCTCGCACGGCTCGCCTTCAATCAGGACGTTGATTTGAACCTTCTTAGTGTTTGTTGTTCTGGCCGTCCCAATTGTGATAGTTTAGTGCCTTTCTTCCTTTTCATCTTTCCGTTGACTTTTTTCGTTATGGTTCCAACGGCTTCCGGTTGTCCTTTCTTTGTTTCTGGGGGGGATACTGCCTTGTCCCCTTGAACTATAGCTCTTTTTGTTTCGGCATACCCTTGTGATGTGCCTCCGTTTCTCACAATGCCGGCATGTGGCATCCAGGAATCGACACTCAGATCTCAGGTGGTTTCCGCCGCAACCCGCACACTGGAACTCGGATCTTCTGGTTCGTCTCTCACTCCGGTTCCTTTCTGAGTAGAGTCTGTTCACCTCCTCGTCTTCGTCATCTGAATCAGTTGATGATTCTATGTCCTCATGGTGAGAGGTCGTGGCAGTGTGCTTTTGGGTTCCCTCTGTCTTCTTCTCTTTGTTCATGCCTGGGCTGCCCATTGTATTCATCTGCTTCATTTTTGCTGCAGATCTCTTTGCGGCTTCAGCAGCAGTTGCTTCAGTAATGGCTTCGTTCACGGTGATGTTGGTCGGTTTAGTAGTTTGCTCTGCAAGGTTGCGTCTCTTAGTCTATTGCAACTATGCGATCCCTCATGGCTTCGTCCATGTTGAGGAATTCGCATCCCCCCCCCAATGTGTCTTAAGGTTGCTACGAAGTCTCCAATGCTCTTGCCTTCTAGTTGGTCGTGCTTGTAAAACTCGTGTCTTCTAATCAGGTTGGGTACGGCCGGTGCATAATGGTTCCTCAACATCCGATTCAGGTCTGGCCATGCCATCTGTTTAACTTGCTAATGCCTTGGCCATTTTAAAAACAGTCGGACCGCAATGCTTTAGGAATACGGCTCTCTTCCTTTGGTCAGTGATTCCTTGCAGCTCGTTGCTTTCTAAAAACATCAGGAATCTGTCAATGTACGACTCCCAGTCTTCTTCGGCTGGATTGAATGGTGCAGGTGGCAAATTGTTGCCGGCCATCTCGTTGGTCCTTCGGCTGTCATTGCCACGTGCTTACGGTCTTTGTCTCTTTAATCCCACCTTCGTCGCCAGTGTTCTGTCGCCAGTAAAGAAACTTGCAGACTGGAGTTGACTTCAGCTTTTTAATAATAAACAGTAACTTTAACTGCAGTTGAACCACAGCAGCCCTTTTTATAGTGGCTGCTCCACGGCTCGCAACCAATGACATTTAGTTAAACTTCCCGCTGCTATAGGTGGCCAATCAGATACTAACGTTACTAACCAATCCTATTGTTGCTTCTGCTAACCAATAAGAACATCGCCCTAGAAGTCTCTATTTAAATACACTACACAGTTGGTGATGGAAACTTTGGAAAATTTCAACATCCAAGAGGAGCCAGAATGGCAGCAAAGGGGTGCTGAAATGGCAGCAGCCATGGATGATATCAGGAGGATCACAATTCTTCCAGCACCCACCAATCAAGTGGATGGCGCAGCAGCAGCAGCTGGAGGCTCAGAAAACCCTCCCCCTGGGTGGTGCACACAACTAGGGCTCATTCCCAACCAGCCCCAAACCCCGCAACTGGAAAGAAAAACTCCCCTCTTGGGGTGACATTTGATAGAGATCTGCAACAATTGGGATTCTTTGTGATACAGGTGCTCATGTACATGCAGGAGTATGGATGGGATTTCCAGACCCAAGGATCCTGAGTGCGAGTTGTTACCCCAGCCCTGGAGGGAGCCGCTGCCAGGTGGATGGTGACCCTACATAATGCCAACACACCAAAACTGTGGAACTTTGGCCATTTTATGATGGCCCTGCGACAGCGATTCAAGGCCCCCCTCACAGATCACAAATCACATGATCACATTAAAATCATAAAGTAGGGATGGCAGCCAGTGACAGAGTATACTGGAGAATTCCGAGACCTCGCATGTCATATAAACTGGCCAGATGATTTTCTGGTAAGCTGCTTCAAGGATGGGCTGAGTGATGACCTCTATAATGCCTGCGTGGCCCGAGGTGCACCGAATCATCTACATGAGTGGTATCTCACTGTGAAGAAACTCACACCTACTGCTTCAATGACTCCATCCAGCCACCTCATTCTCTGTCATCCCCATCTTCTTTTGTCCTCAACTGCTCCCAGCATTAGGCTCTTCTCCAGTGAGTCCTTCCTTATCATTAGGTGGCCAAAATATTTGAGTTTCATCTTCAGGCCTTCTAAAGAATAGTCAGGGTTGATCTCATTTAGGACTGATCAGTTTGATCACCTTGCAGTCCAAAGGTTTCTTTTAAATAGGTTAAATTGGTGAGCATGTATACCTACAAATATGTTGCAGTTCATAGAAGTAAATTCTGATTATGCAACTGATGAATAACATTTTCCCCAGAGAAGCCCATTAAATGTCATTGCCAAAAGAAGAACATTGCTTGTAGCAAGAAATTTAGTTGCAAACATATTAAATAAATTTTCTATTTTTAAATATTATGTGTGTGTATGTGAATGTGAACATTTGAGGATACATGCATATACATACAACAATGAGCTTGTTTCTTTGGATAGTCAGTTCCCTTCAGAATGAAAAAAAGCATATATCCACAGATTAAAAATATATAGGCTGAAAGAAAAATAGATTATCCAGGACATTTTGAAAAATGAGTACACATTCAAACAGCGAAGTTTGATAATTCACCTGAAAGCACAAAACAGCTACAATGCAACACCAAGTCATATATGTGTATAAAACTTCTATTAAGTGTAACAGAAATAACTGCCTTGGGATAACAGCCACTGACAGAAGCCAGAATTTTGGCTGTTTCACATTCTGTTTTAACACCCAATACAAGCAACATCCTTTAGATTCCAGTTGAAGTTTCTTTTTCTTTTTTGCAAGTGAATGAGAGATTGTCCTTGAGGCTGAATAAAACCTATTTGCATAGCACTTAAGGAGAATCCAGTATGATCACTCTTGAGAAATTCTAAACCCCTTGTTAATTTATGGTTTCTTTGTTTGATTTTAAAATGTACTAGAATCTTTTGAAACCTGCGCTAACCATGCTAGGATACATTTGTTACATTTGTTAGAAAGATAAGAATAAGTAGTGTCTTGTTTTTATTAATACTGATCTGAGATCCTTATGACCCAAAAGAAAATCACAGCTTGGTTTGTGGTTCAATATCTGACTGGCTCTTGATGTGCATTTGCTACCATAGAAGATGTTGTGTGTGTGAACATCATGAATGCTTTGAAG